GTTTCAAACCAGCTCTAGGGCCGCCTAGGATGTTTCGCGTAATCCTACCATATCGCTAAAGTCACAAGAATTGTCCATAAGAGGAAAACTAAGTTTAAGCCAGCCCACACAATTGGAAGATTAGGACAACTTAGAAATGAAAGAATTATTGAGGATCATACAATGAGCACATTTTCTGGAACACCAGCAGATTGCTAAAAAGTCGCTCTTTTCCTCTAGTAGAGGAGAGCCTCCATGACTCCAAAAACTATAACTGTGAGAGTTTTTGGACTGCAGTGTTAGTCCTACTGTCAGAGAACGATATCAAGCTTAATTCCACATGACCAACATAATTTTCTCCTACAGAACAAAGTGCTGCGTCAGCGAAAGAATGAGAATCTGCGTACCTCCGGAATTTCTCCTCCTTCCTTTCCAGATGAATGTAAAGCTGGTACTAGACTAGTCCAAAATCCTACTCTTGCATTACGGTAATAGTTTTTGACCCGAGGCCGATCAGCTGAACATGTTGTTATGGAAAAAAATTGTGGAAGTGTCTAAGCAATGTAGCAAAAAACTCACTAATTTCTAAATAAGCTTCTCGATTAGGCTGATCAAATTGAGGCCAAGCTGTGGCATGGAAGGCATCACCCATAGGGAACGATTTCGGCATTGGAGTTGGTTTTGAAGGATCACTAGAATAATATGTTCAAGGAAAAATCAAACAAGAGAGCTAATATCTTACCCCGATTTTACAAAATTCGCTACATAGTGCATGAGGACCTGCGAAATTCCTCTATCCTCGGCGCTGAATCCAGAAAAGAGCTAAACAATGTTCTTGATAGATAAATTTATTATGATAGCATTATTCTTAGATAAATCAATAACATATGAGCACACCCACTTTCTCCTCTTTGTCCGAATTAGCGAGAGGGTACCCGAAAATATACGGTATGTGATCACCCGACAGGGATCCTCTCAGTCCCGAGTTTGGTTGTTCGTTCATCCAAGAACGGGTTTCATGACCAAACACAAACCTTAACGGAATTAAATCTTCATATGGAATTTTGAAGAAGAACAGCGTAAGAGTCAAGCGAATTGTGAGCTTCGAGAACCCACCAATTTGTGTAGTTTGCGAAAAATCAAAAGTTCTACAATCTCAAAAACTAATAGAGACTTCCAGAAAAGATTTCTTTCTTTTATCAAGATAATCACAGAAGTCACAGCTTACATGAACGTGTTCGCCTCCTTCCTTACTTCATCTGCACTGTGCATACGTAACGTTTCAATGAGAGGAGCAGTGAACAATACATCATTGAGAACTGCCAGCACACCATTTCTTATCGATTTTGGATGATCCTGGATAGAATGAGTAGAAGGACTACATTATTGCAGAGTGGCTTCAGCTTTTCCTATTCAAAAATTTAAGCTGCTCTGAATATGTAAAAAGTTTTCTTTGTCTGGTTCTTATGCAGTTCGACTAACTACAGTACCATATGATTATCTCAGTGCTGTAGGTTAGCGGGAAATTTGAATGATACATATGAGAGACAATCTTTAACTCACCCACTAAATGGTATGCATAATCTAAGGGATTTTTTACATTGCAAAATCCTTGGGATATGGCCAAAATAGAGTACACCTTAATTTCTTCAGCAACAGTTTTGTATAGTCCTTTTTGCTATAAATCCAATAGCATGCCGTCGACTTAGTTACTGATAGGTTCAGA